GAAACACTGCCTTGGCAGAAATAAAACGGGAGTGAGGGTTGATTTCTCCTCATCCAGGTCTGTATTTGTGGGAACCTAAATCAAAAGGTCTTTAGCTGACAAACACAAAGGCTACGTTTGAAATACTGTGGCCTACACTGAATCGTCTGTTTGCTTTGGTGAGCCATTGGATGCAGATTCTCAGGCTGCCTGGTCCACCAGCCTGAAATAAGTGCACTCTAGCCCTGAGCGTCCATGAGCAGTAGAAATAACTGTGAGTAACACACCCCTGGGATGGGCCTCCTTCATTTTTTTCTGCCTTGTCTCTTAAAAGAGTGAAAGTGATGCATGGCTGGCTCTTTCATGCAGCAGTGCCCATAGATGGAGTCCGTAGATAAAAATAATCAAGGCTTCACAAAAAAAAAAAAAGGGGACCTACCAAAGCAAAGCGGTTGAGTATGCAGAAAATATTGCCAAAAAAAAACTGTGACGGGATTTGGACAGCAGGCATCCCATCAGCAGGGGTGAATAATGGTTAGGTTTGTAGGTTTGTAGCTGGTACAGCCTGTGTTCTTGAGCTGTAGAGACCTTGTGTTTTGGCTCCAGCTCTGACAGACGCTGGCGGCTTTGATGCAATTCTGACAAACACTGGCAGCATTTTTACAATTCTCAAATCAGAGACGTGGCCTCCAGGCCAGCTCTGAAAAGGTTTTGGCCAGGGCCTTGTGAAGCCCCACCCTCTGCTGGTTGGTGCTTTTTCTTTTTCCTTTCCTCTGTCAAGCTCCCTCACACGCACAGAGACACAGCAGAGATGCGAGCTGCACATTAATAGAAGACCTAATGGTTGTTCCCTTAGAGCCTGGTGCTAGTGTGTGTGTGTGTATGTGAGACCACTCTCAGAAGAGGGAGAAGGAGTGCATTTAGGAGGTGAATTGACTGTTGAGTCCACTCTTGTGTCAAATTTATGTCAGTGTCCAGGGGAAAGAAGCTCTCAAAACAGTGTCTTAAGCTGAATCCTGACTGCATTGGTAAACAGGCCGTCTAACCTCACTCACACTCTCTTTCTGCTGCATTAGCTTTTCCTTCTCATCTTTCTCTCTCTGCCTCTGTTCATTGTTTTCTTTTTCTCTGGCCCCCTTCAATTTCGAAGCTTTTCTTTTTCCTACAGTATCTCCTTTCTCTGTATAGGCTTTTTCATTCATTTTCTCATTGTGCATTCACTTTCATATTTCACTCCGCCTTCTGTTCTTTACTCAAAGCACAGACAAAAAAAATATTCCCATGCTTGGCGATCTCCTCCAGAATGAAGGAGAATGGGAAGTACAGCCCCATCCTACCATCTTCAGGAGGTAATTAAGCCTCCAAGGGGATGAGAAAATTTGGGTCTCTGGGTTGATCTTGATAGTTTCCTTGCATTGTGCACTTCTGATCTTGCAGTTTTGTTTGTGTTGCTCTATAGGTGGGACTGATTGAGGACTTGATCTATCAGTGGGAGAAGTCTTACTTGAAGAGGCAGGCTCACAAAACTGTCAGGAAACAGTGGAAGAATGACAGTGAAGCTCTGAAACAGAATGCTTTCTCCATGCCTAAAGAGGTTACTTCAACACTTCCAGCCATGCAAGGAGTTCCCCAAAAACAGCATGCTCCAGCCCCTGGGCCAAGCGAGCACTAGCTGGACTTCACAAACAGCCACATGCAGCTTGAGACCCAGTTGATCATCTTCAGTGGGAGTGTTCTCCAGTCTCCATTACTCTATACTGACAGAAATAAATACACTCTACTGTTTGGTCCTCTCTCTGATTTAAGGTCTCCTTGTTTTAGTTAGACACTGTCTCCGTCTCAGCTCTCTAGAGGACACAAAGCAATTGTGATAGTTTATAAAACAGAAACCATGTTCTACCTCGTCATACCAGCATCATCTGCATGCACATTTCATCCAGAGGAGCATCCGTATATCAACCGATACAAACTTTGGAAAGCACTTTATCTGTCCATCAACGGAACAAGTAGTAATAGGTGAAAGTGTGGATTTTATTGTTGTCTGTGATGCATCAACAGAGATAATAATTTTGCACTTGTTCCTGTGGCTTCCTCTGAGGAAGGCTATACAGAATAACATTGTCTAATAATGTGCAGTATAGGTTAATATAGGTTTGCATGATAGGGAGGCTATGCAGGGCATGCTGTTATTGGAAAATTATAAACAACAGGGTGATGTAATGCTGTTACCACCCTGAAGCTGATTATTTTTCCAATAACAGCATGCCCTGAATTCCTCTTACATCACAGCAATTTACCAAAGCTAACAATTTTTTTTATTTATTAAAGTACAACATGTCATATTTTTTTAATCCATTTATAGTTATGTTTAATGTTATGGAACAGCCAAGAAACAAGTCAGGTCTTTTGCTTTTGCCTCTTTTTTCTCTTGAAGGTAATAAGAAAAAAAAATCAAGCTTGTAACTCAGTCTTGAAGACATTTCCATAGTGCAAAAAACAGTTGCAGCTTTACCTCTGACTGTTACAAAGCACTGACACTGGAGACTCCTTCCAAAATGTTAAACTTCTCCACACATCACATCAATATATACACATGGTTTTAATCCACATATGTGGAGCGTCCGCCCTATGTAAGTCATTACAATAGATATATATAACTTTAATATATTAGATTTGTTGTAGAAAATTAAGATTCAAGAATTTAACGGTAAACACCACATGGTTTCATTTTATACCTGTTCTTTTAAAAACCAAGGCAGAGGCTGTCCTCACACTGAACGAAAACCAGTCCACAAAGGTCTATCAAACATCTAAGTGCAAAGATCAGTGAGTTAAAACAGACCAGTGTGCAGACGTTTCAGCCCATAGCTTTCTTCAGTACTCACCTAACAAACAACAGTTCATCCCTTTTACAGACACATACAGTAATTGAAGACTGAGACCAGCTGAGCTTGATCAAGAGCAATTCCTAAGGTGAGCACTGAAGAAAGCTATGGGCTGAAACGTCTGCACACTGGTCTGTTTTAACTCATTGATCTTTGCACTTTTTCACTATGCAAATCTAAAATAATAAATATACAGTTGAAGACAAAATTATTAGCCCCCTATGAAATATTTCATTATTTTTCAAATAATTCCCAAGTGCTGTTTAATGGAGTGAAGATTTTTTTCAACACAGCATTTCTAAACATAATAGTTTATTTAGGAAACTTGGTGTGTTTGTAAATCAAATAGAAACAAAATTATAACCAAGAATGAAAAAAGTCTACAGGTCAAAATTATTAGCCCTCTGATGTTAATAGTCAATCGCGTATCCCTTTTGCTTGATAACAGCCTTTAGTTGTTTGTTGTAGTTCTCAACAAGTTTCAGGCATGTCTCCTGAGGAGTTGCAGCCCATTCCTCCTTAGCAAATCTCTCAAGCTCCTCCAGATTTGTTGGTCTCCTGGCATGGACTCTGGTCTTCAGTGTGCCCCACAGATTTTCTATTGGAAACTTTGCTCATTTGGAGGTAGTTCTTCACCAGAAGTGAGGTATACTTTGGGTCATTATCATGCTGGAAGACAAAACGTCGACCCAAACCAAGTTTTGTTGCAGATTGCCTGAGGTTGTCTTTCAAAATCTTCTTGTAGTCTTCCTTTTTCATGTTTCCTTCAACCCTGACGAGATTCCCAGTTCCAAACGCACTGAAACATCCCCACAGCATTATACTCCCACCGCCATGTTTCACTGTGGGAACGGCGTTCTTTGGGTTGAGTGCCTCTCCCTTCTTTCTCCAAACATAGGCAACATCTCTATGGCCAAAGAGCTCTAGTTTTGTCTCATCTGACCAAAGGACGTGTTTCCAGTAGTCATTATTTTTGTCCAAATTTGCCCTTGGCAAATTTCAGTCTAGCTTGGAGGTGTCTCTTCTTTAGAAGTGGAGTTTTTCTTGGTCGGCAATCTCGCAGTCCATTCCTGTACAGGGCTCTAGTGACCGTCTTCGTTGAGACATCAATCCCAGACTTGACTAAATCATTCAGTAGTGTCTTGGCAGTTGTTCTTGGGTCTTTAGAAACCTCTCTCACTAATTTTCTTTCCAAAGTTTTTGAAATCTTTCGTTTCCTACCTCTGCCAGTCTTGTTCTCCACTGTGTGGGTCTCTTCAAACTTCTTGATAATACTTCTCATGGCAGTTCTTGACACTTGAAAACGCTTTGATAAACGTGTATATCCTTCTCCTCCTTTGCGAGCATTAACAATTCTTTTTCTCAAGTCTAAACTAATTTCTTTTGTCTTTGCCATGATGACAGTACAAATTATTTTACAAGTTGTTTTGCAAGATACTAATCCTCAGCTTAAAGTGAAATTTAAATGCTTGAAGGATTAATTAGGTCAATTTGGCAAGTAATTGGACAACAGTGGTGTGTTCCGTAGCCAATCAAACAGATCATTTCTTAAGGGGGCTAATAATATTGACCTTAGCCGTTTTTAATTTTTTTTAAATAATTCTTTTATTCCAGGCAAATTAAAAGAAATAAGGCTTTCTCTAGAGGAAAAATATAATATGAAATACTGTGATAAAATTCCATTACTCTGTTAAACATCACTTGGGAAATATTTGAAAAAGAATTGAAATTTCATAGGGGGGCTAATAAATTTGTCTTCAACTGTATATTTTGACAGACCTTTGTGCTCTGTTTTTTATTCAGTGTGCAGGCATTTTCTTGCTTCATGCAACATTTTTTTCCTTCATGCACCTGAGGACATATTCATCTCATATGAGCGCAATTATCCCTCTTCCATTCCTGTTCTTTTAAACATGTAGAATATGTATATGTAGTATTTATCAACACTGTTGTTCTTCTTCTTCTTTCAGCTGCTCCCATTAGGGGTCACCACAACAGATCATTGGTCCGCATGTTTGATTTGGCACAGGTTTTACACCAAATCAATTTACTGGGGATACCCTCCCCAACTCTATCCGGGCTTGGGACTGGCACAGGGAGTGCAACGTCATGTGTAGCCCCAGAGACTGAGGTTGGTTCCCTGGCCGGGAATCGACCACGGGCCACATCGGTGAGAGTGCCATGGCCTAACCACTAGTCCTCCAGGGACCCTAGTATTAATCAACACTACTTATTCAAATTAGTTTTATTCCCTAAAGCTACATAAAATGCTTCCATCTCACCATGTGAAATGTAGCTGAACAAATTCAAACCAGTATTGCCTGTGATAAATGCATTTGAATAGAGCATGTTAGGCATGCTGGAAGCCCCCATCAGTTTCTGATCTCATTAATTCACATATCTCTACCAGCCAATCACTGAGGACATCAGCAAGCTGTTTGGACACTTTTGTTTGCAAGAGAGACTTCTCCAAACTGCTGCATTCTGCCGTTTCTGAACGTTTTCCCTCAGGAGTTTTTGGCTTGTTAAGGGGTTAAACTTGGAACTATGGGAATTGGATGATAGTTTTTTTAATAGTATAAGTCTGGCAAAAACTTATCAACCCCCATCTGGACAACTTTCCAGTACTTGCAGTTTTTAGGGCAGTGATGGCTCAGTGGTTAAGGTTCTGAACTAATGAAAGATTAAATCCTATGACTGCCTTGGAACCACTGTTGAACCCTTGAGCAAGGCCCTCAACCGCTCACTTGTATGCTTGGATTGAATCACTTTGTTTCAGTTTTAATTTTGGAGAAAAGCATATGCCAAGTACATAAACATTCTTGGATTAAACACATGCACATAATGTCAGCATTAATGACATCGCCCCCTGCTAAGGTTTTGTAATGATTTTGTACTGCATTACATTAAATACCCTTGTCAAAAAATCCTACTGGAATTTCAGTTTATCCTGCAGGATCTTATTTGATTTTTAGAATCGTATTGGAACTCTACTTGTATTTTATATATATAAAATTATATAATTATATATATATAATCTTAAGCAACCATTCTGCAAACATCTTAATCTGTACTGGTCATTAATAGTTAATGACTCATGGAACACAAAGTTTGAAACAATTCATTTCTTTTATTTAAAGCTTACATATACTGTTCTGACAATTAAATATTAGCACAAGATGTGCTGTTTTTCCTGGTTATTACAATAAAGTTTTGTAAAAATATTTATACCGCAACTTCAATTTCATCAATTCAGAAACTACATACAGTATAGACCGATTCATATAGAACATTAATACTATTTAAATAAAATTTCAGAATACAGTTGACATAGAATGGAAGGTTTTAATGGATCCCATTAAAAAATTCTGTAAAAGTGGTCCTACAGGATATTTATGTCTTGTCCTATAAGACAATTCCTGTAGGAATCTTATAGGAATGGTTCCAAATTATGATAGAAATTCTAATTAGAATCCTGTACAAGTTTCTTATTGGAATCCTTTAGGGTTTTTTGACAAGGGTAGTGACACTATCAGGGAAATGCGTGCTCCTTGGTGCTATGAACAGCCAGGTTTCTCCCAATACCAAGCACAATATGTGCCTTTAAGTTAACTCATTGCTGATTCAATCACTAAGAGCTCATCTTTGTGACATACTAGCACTCTGTTAAGCGAACCCTATTATACACACATTTTGCCTACATGCATCTTAATCGTTAATCTGTTTCGAATGGGATGGACTGTGCCTAAAGGCAATTAGACGCTGGCAGCTAGTGACGGAGCTCCATGCAACGTCGCGATCAGCAGTAAGAGAGCCTATTCATTCCGATGCAGAATAAATTAATGGCGTGTATCGAGTGGCTAGAAGGGGGAAACCATTTACATTGTACAGTATTGGCATGTTGTAGAGATTAATTATACCCGTGGCGTTTTTGTAATTGATAAACAGTCATTATAATCCTGGCTTACATGTATAATGCATGAAGGCAGAAGGGAAATGTGTTGGATGTCTTAGCAGGGATATCAATGGAATATATGAAGACTGTGTTACCTAGAGTTACCTAGAGCTTAGGTTTAAAAGACTGGAACCCTTTCTTAGGAATTGACTGCTATGTGACTATTGGTGTGTGGGCAATGTATCATCTGTTTCATCTTTTATTCTATTTCCTGTCTTTTAACTATATACCTGTCTATATTGTCTTTGCACATGTCTGTGTACATTTTCAATGTCACTGCTTGTCACTTGGCGGCTAAATATATTTGAAATGAATTTTCTATATTTGAATTATATTCATTACACTGGCCCAAACTCAGCATTTAGCCAATCACAGTTGTCTGTCATGCTCATGTTCATGAAGTGAAGTGTAGAGATGTGGAGTAGAGTTAAATGTCATAACAGAAGATATCAAACATAATGAGGTAAGTATGTAAAGTTTTTTGTTGTTGTTGTTCTACTGAAATTTCTAACTTCTTATTAAGCATCTCACTTTGGCTGTTAGCTGCTAACAATTGCCAGCAAGTTAATGTTATCAAAGCTTAAAACTAGTTACAATGTTATTTACATAGTTACACTGGGCATATACTAAGCATTTAATTTTACAATCACTGTAGAAAACTAGCTTATATGAGCAGAACATAAAGACCTTCTTATTAGTTTGACCACTCTGAAAGTAACTACTTTTCTCTGGAAATCTGGGATGCTTCACTTCTGGCCTAATTTACATAAAATCTGTATTGATAAGATTTGAATTTTTGAGCTTAAACTAAAAACTAAAGAGATGGTTGTTGACTTCAGAAGAGCACAGTATGACCACTCCCCGCTGAACATCAGCGGCTCCTCCGTGGATCGTCAAGAGCACCAAGTTTCTTGCTGTTCACCTGGCAGAGAACCTCACCTGGTCGCTAAACACCAGTTCCATAACTAAGAAAGCCCAGCAGCGCCTGTACTTTCTGAGAAGACTGAGGAAAGCACATCTCCCAGCCCCCATCCTCACCATGTTCTACAGAGGGATTATCGAGAGCATCCTGAGCAGCTGCATCACTGCCTCGTTTGGGAATTGCACCATCTCGGATCGCAAGACCCTGCAGCGGATAGTGAGGACAGCTGAGAAGATCATCGGAGACTCTCTTCCCTCCATTACGGACATTTACACCTCACGCCGCATCCGCAAAGCCACCAGCATTGTGGATGACCCCACACACCCCTCTCACACACTCTTTACCTTCCTGCCGTCTGGTAAACGGTACCGAAGCATTCGGGCCCTCATGACCAGACTGTGCAATAGTTTCTTCCCCCATGCCATCAGACTCCTCAATACTCAGAAACTGGACTGAAGGAACACACACACACACACATACATATATACACACACAACTGAGCATCCTCCATCCTCTCTGCAATTTTTTTGCAAGTTTTTGCACATGTTTATGCTGCTACAATACTTATTATACTGTACATAGGCTGCTACTCTTATGTTTACACTTATGTTTACACTATTTCAGCTACTTGTATTGTACTCTTGTCACTCTTTGCACTATTGTCACTAGGTTCACTTTTAAACAGAACTGTGTACTGGTTGGCACTGCACTGGGACTTACTATGCCCATTGTCTGTCCCAGTAGTCATTCTACTGTCTTGTACTGTCTTGTGCTGTCTGCACATGTTTGCACTTGTGCACTTCATGTATAAATTATGTAGTCCCTTGTAGTTCTGTGTTGTTCTGTGTCGTCTTATGTAGCACCTTGGTCCTGGAGAAACGTTGTTTCGTTTCACTATGTACTTGTATATGGCTGAAATGACAATAAACTCCACCTGAACTTGAACTTGAACACTTGAGCTTTGTATTTAGGGTTTAGATTTTTTAAACATCTCAAAACTGTAACCTGTATTTTTGAATGATGTTTTAAAAGGTAAATCTTACACCAAACAAGTTCAAAACAAAGAAAAAAAACTTTAGCAAAAATGTAAATTTATTAAATGCAACCCCAAGAAATAGAATTTATTTGTATATGATTCAAATTCAAATAGAATTTGAATGTGATTCAAATAGAATTAAAATATATGAAATTCATATGCAAATATTTCTGTCAGTTTCCAAGCTCCATAGTCACACTGTTTGTGCATTTAAATAAAATAAAAATGTGGAATTGGTAAAAATCAGTGTACGCCAGTTTGACATTTCATTCAATTTTAAACACTTCTCTTTGATCAGCCCTCTTAAATGATTTAGCTTCCTATATTGAAAGTGTAAAATGTGAACTGTGGCTCTTTTCTTTTTTTCAACAGAGCAAAGCATTGGTATAACACTAATGGTATAAATTTTTGTTTGAGGACACAGGGTTTCTCCACTCAGACAAGTTAATGAATGAACAGATCTGACGATCATAAAGCATTATAGAGACACTTAAATAACAATTACAGCTTTTTAAATTCACCAACCATCTGGCCAAATCTTGTCAGTGTATCAAGGACCATATGAATAGCGTGATTAAACAGCATCACAGATCATATCTAGTCATCAGTGCTGGACTTAAAGCATAGAGACAGGATTTTTTTTTTTTTTTAATCATGAACCACATTTCTTTTGGCCTGACCAACTATGGATTTGAACTGTCATTTCTCTATGCAGGCAATAGGGGTGTAATGCAATGCCACTATCTGCATTTGTTTATTGCTCAAAATATTCGTATTTGTTTTTCGAATTTAGATTTAAACCAGAATTGGGCCCCAGAAACACTGTATTAAAAGAAGATGTCATTAATCATTCACAAATTACAACAACAAATAGCAATTTGCAGAACATATCTTCATTCAAATCCTGAACCAGATGCCCTGTGGAACTTTTTATCTAATGACTGATTAGGCAAGTTTATTTCAAAACAACAATGTCTTTCTCAAATCAAGAAACTGTTTATAGTTGACAACAGTAGCCACTTAATAATATTTAATCGGATGTAGTTTTGGGGTTTGTTGCATTCCAGAAAGAGCTGAAAAGTTGACTGGACACGCTATCAGAATGTACTCTCAAGCTGTGATGGTGCTGCTGCCAGTTATTATAATGCCTGTATAATTTTCTGAGAAGATTTTTGTTTAATAACAATAGACAGCATTCATTTAAGGACAAAATAAGATGCATAAAGTACAAGTGCATGGACACCACTGTTAACTTGTTTCCCACAAAAACACTGAGAAAAAGAAGAAAACTATAT